CCGTTGGGGGGGCCGCTTTGGCGCCTAGAGGACTGGCTACCCCCCCACCCACAACGCACATGTTGCATTTATCTGAACGGACATAATTTTACGAACAGCGGCATTTCGACATATGAGAGAGCGCGTTTCACGGGCGCTTGCCTTGGGAACATTCGGCGTTGCATTTCGAATCGGTTCGACGCCGTCGATCAGAACCAAGGGGACTCCCCTCACCCTAACCCCCCCCCCGAACCCCACCCCCGCCCCCCTGTGCTGGCGGCGGCCGGCAGCGCCGACGGCGGGGACGCAGCGACGATGACCAGAGAGGGCCCAGAGGCCGCAGATGGGAAACACAACTCGCCACATCGAGCCCTCGCCCCCCAAACGCCAAGAGAGGTCCTTAGGGAGGTCCAAGAGACGCCCAGGAGGCTTCACCAATGCTCCTCAGACGCCCCCGAGAGCTCTCTGACGAGACGCCAAGCGGCATCCATTAGAACTCTGACCCAAAGTCAAGGCACGGTGGCGGGAAGACCCCGAAGGCCACACCACCACCACCACCACCACAAACCACCACACCACCACCACACCACCACCACCACCGCAATCACCACAACCCACCAATACCACAACACCCACCACCACTACCACAACCCACCACAACCACCACCACCTCCACAAAACATCACCACCACCACAACCCACCACAACCCACCAACACCACCACCACAAACCACCACACCACCACCACCACCACAGCCACCACCACCACCCACAACCCACCACAACCAGAACCACCAGCAGCAGCACCACCACCACCACCACCACAGCACACCACCATAACCACAAACCACCACGCCACCACCACCACCACCACCACCGCAAACCACCACTACCACCACCACCACAACCCACCACCACCACCACAAACCACCACACAACCACCATCACCACAGCCACCACCACCACCAGAGCAACAAAAACCACCAGCACCACCACAACACACAACCACCACCGCCACCACCACTACAATCCACCAAACCACCACCACCACCGCCACAACCACCACCACCACCACTACCACCAACACCACAAACCACCACACCACGACAAACCACCACAAACCATCACACTACCACAGACAACCACCACAAACCACCACACCACCCACCACCACCACCAGCACCGCCACAACCACCACCACCTCCACCACCCACCACACCTGCCACCACCACTACCACCACCACAAACCATCACACCACCACCACCACCACCACCTCCACCACCTCCACAACCCACCGCCACCACCACCACCACCACAAACCACCACACCACATCCACCACCACCACCGCCACCACCACCACCAAAACAACCCACCACCACCACAAACCAACCCACCAACACCACCACCACCCACCGCCACAACCACCACAACCACAACAAACCACCACACCACCACAACCACAACCACCACCACCGCCACCACCACCCCAACCACAACCCACCACCACCACAAGCACTACCACCACCGCAACCTCCACGACAAACTACCACACCACCACCGCCACCACCACCACCACAAACTGCCAACACTTGAACTACCACTTCCACCACAAACCACCACCACCACCACCGCGTCCACCAGCACCACCACAACCGACCACCACAACCACCGCCACCATCACCACCACAAGAACACCACCAACACCACGACCACCACCACCACCACCACCACCACCACCACGCCCACCACCACCACCACCACCACCAACCAACAAAACAACAACAACAACAACAATCATTTTACCCGAACGCTCAGTGTTCTCACCAGTGCCAGGGTTTTCATGCGACGCGAGACAATACCCCCACTTCGTGGGGGGGCAGTTCAAGCTCTACCAAATATCCAAACGACTCTTCGCGACCACCCAAACCCAGCTTCCCGCCCTATGACGTTGGGACACTTCACTTCGTGGCGTGCGGACGACCGTGGCTACTACACTGGCGTGGGGTACACACCCACAGAACTTGGTCACTTATTCGGGGCGCGCGTGTGCCCAGCATCCTGCAATTGTGACATACAATACATGACACAGACAGACAGAGAGAGAGACAGAGAGCAGACAGAGAGAGAGACAGAGAGAGCGGAGTTGGTCACATTTTTGGGGCAAGTTCCTGAGATCGTCGTGTTTTTTGTTGGTCTTGCGCGCGCGAATGTCCACTTTACTTTTTTTTTGCAAGGGAGTATTGAAATTTGATTATGTTAGAACAAGAAAAAGTAGCTCGCGCGAGCTCATGTAACATAAATGTTGAAAAACCATTGGTTTTGTGGGAGTCGGACAGCGCGCGCGGGATGAAATTTGGACATTTTTTTTTGAAAAACCATTGGGTTTTTGATGTTTTTATGTTGAAATCGTTACGAAACCTAAGGTTCTGGAAGGATTTCGTCTTGCGCGCGCGAATGTCCACTTTACCTTATTTTTTGCAAGGGATTATTGAAATTTGATTATGTTAGAACAAGAAAAAGTAGCTCGCGCGAGCTCATGTAACATAAATGTTGAAAAACCATTGGTTTTGTGGGATTCGGACAGCGCGCGCGGAAGGACATTTTGACAATTTTTTCTTAAAAAACCATTGGGTTTTTGATGTTTTTATGTTAAAATCGTTACGAAACCTAAGGTTTTGGAAGGATTTCGTCTTGCGCGCACGAATGTCCACTTTACCTTATTTTTTGCAAGGGATTCTTGCAATTTGATCAAGTAAGAACAAGAATTTTCATTTTATAGTGTTTTTTGCAAGGGAAAACGGATTACAACAAAACAACCGGATCCGGTGACAATCCACTTTTCTGAAGCTTTCGCTAGAAAATGAAGGAAATGAGGCTGCGGCCTAGGTTTTGGAGGGGGGTCGCGCACCAGGGGTCTCAACAATAATATTTCTTTAGAGTTACTAGCACGTGGGGACACTCCGTTCTCACCAGTGCCAGGGTTTTCATAGGAGGCGGGCAATACCCCCACTTTGTGGGGGGGCCGGTTCAAGCTCTACCAAATTTCCAAACGACTCTTCGCCACCACCCACACCCAGCTTCCCGCCCTATGACGTTCGGACACTTCACTTCGTGGCATGCGGACGACCGTGGCTACTATTCAGGGCCCCGCGGCCGACGACGACGGCGTGCGCGCGCGAAGAAAAAACGAATGTGTCCCGCATGGTATTATTTGACAGGGATGATGGCCCTGGCAGGTGCGCAACCGTTGTTGCAGAAGTTCGAAAAAGTTGCTCGCAAAAGCCCGTTTGACAGAAATGTTTAAAAAGTGTTGGGTTTCCTACGAATCCGCAAGAGCGCGCGGGATGAAATTTTGACATTTTTGTTTTGAAAAACCATTGGTTGTTTGATGTTTTTATGTTAAAATCGCTACGAAAACTAAGGTGTTGGAAGGATTTCGTCTTGCGCGCGCGAATGTCCACTTTACCTGATTTTTTGCAAGGGATTCTTGAAGTTTGGATATGTTAGAACAAGAAATGTCCACTTTAGCTTTTTTTTTGCAAGGGAAAACCGATCGTAACAACAGAACCGGATCCGGACCAACCCGTTTTGCCTGAGACTTCCTCACGAAAATGATGACATGGCTGCGGCCTAGGCGCGGCGGGGGGGTCGCGCACCAGGGGTCCCAACAATAATTATTCTTTAGAAGTAATAATGTTCAACAACAACAACAACAACCATCACCACACAACGGGAGGGGGTGGGGGGGTTCGATCACCCCCGTGATGGGAGGGGGGGGGGAGGGGGGTTCGAACCCCCCCACTTTAATCCAGGGGGGGGGTCCCGTTCCGAGCCCCCCCGTCCAAACTCCCACAGAAAGCGCTCATTCGGGCATATCCTCCTTTGTTGGAGCCGTCTCTGGCCGTTTGGGGGTCGCCTTGGGAGGCTGAAAACAATGCTTGGGGCCTCTGTGGCCACTGTGAACCGCTTGAAGGATTTCTGGAGCCGTCCTTAGCCGTTGAGGGGCCCTCTTGGGGCCGCTGCGTCCTTCGCCGTCGGGGGGCCCTTCTGGGCCGCTGTGGAGCCGCTTTGGCGCCTAGGGGACTGGCCACCTCGCCCACCCACCACGCACATTTTGAATTTATTCGAACGGACATCGTTCTGCGAACAGCGGCATTTCGACAGAGCCTCCTCCTCCGATAACCGACGGACGCGTCCGAAAGCAATGCCAGAGGCGCGAAGATAGAGGAACAAACAGCAGCACAAGCGTACGGCAGGTTCGTGTCGTGCCGATTTCGGCGTTGGTTTCACCGCGGGGATCGTTCAACCTTGAACGATCGGCCGTTTCCGAAATTCGTTCAACATCGAGCGACTCTGGGTCGCCAGCGGCTTGAACCTACCGTACCCTCCCGGAGCTCCGAGGGTTACGTTTATGCCGTCTGTTGTTCCTCGATCTTCCACGTCCCCCTTTTCTGCAGCGATTCACGGGGGCCTCTCAGACCATCTTCTTGGCTCTTGCGAACCGACGCTGATCGACAGTAGATCGATGCTGATCGACGCGGATCGGCGCTACCTCTCATCGATTACCAGACACTATCGACGCGAAAGCACACCAATGACGGAAATACTGCGAGGGTATACGCGGCTCCTACGCTTAGGTCGGGCATGTCCCCCTACAGGGGGGATTTTGGGCGAACAATGCAAGAGGACCCCCCCAAAATACCCAAAAATTGTCAAAAATGCTAGAAGAATCGCCCCCGACTACTTTTTTTGACAATTTTTGAATCTTCCTCCTGTCGAGGGATGGGCCCGCCTTAATTCGGCGGTGGACAAATCTCCCTTTAGTAAACCTCCCCTCAGTGAAAACGGCCTGGTACCGAAACCGACGGACCTGGACCCGCAAAATTGACGGCCGCGACGCCCTCTCGCGAACTGAAAGCGGCCAATTCACTAATCGACGTGTCAGGGTAGGAGGTCTATCCAGCTCCGATTGATCCTACGCGTCGCTGCCGAACCCGCCCACTCCGGAGACTCCGCGGCCTGCGCCGCCTCCGCCGCGCGCGGCCCGGGCACCTCGAGCCGGTAGCCCGCCCTCCAGGCGCCCGCCAGGCGCCGGGCGCGCGGCGCGGCGGCGCCGCGGAGGTCCTCGGGCCGCGCGCCTCCCGCCGCCGCGGGTCGTCGGTCGGTCGCTCGGTCGATCGCTCGGTCGTCGTCGTCGTCGCGCGCCTCGCCGCCTCCCTGTCCTGCCCGCGCCATGAGGGCTCTCCTCGGGCCATCTTTGGACCCTGTTGGGCCGCCTTGGGAGGAGGAGGAGGAGGAGGAGGAGGAGGAGGAGGAGGAGGAGGAGGAGCTCTCTTGGACTGCCTGGAGGCCCCTCCTGCGCCGCTGCTCGTGCTCTTCCTCAGCCTGTGGCTGCTGCTCAGCTTCCCCCTCTGCCGCCTGCTCGTCACCGAGCCGTGTCTCCGTGCGTGGCGCTCCTCCCCCCGTCGCACGCCCGGAGGTGTCGGAGGGCGGGCTGGGCGTCTCGCGCGAGAAAGTCTTCACGATCTACAGTCCTGAAGCTAGAGGAAAGAGAACTATGCACATGCACCGATTCTGGCCAGGCCCATCCTGAGCCCAGGATCGGTGCATACGCCCTCTACCTTGGCCAGGAAGGCATGTGCACCGATCCTGGATCAAGGATGGGCCTTGCCAGGCTCGGTGCATGTGTATAGTTCTCTTCGCCCGATGAAGCTTGAGATGTGAAGCCGCTTCGCGGATGGAGGGGGGGCGTTCCAAGTGCGGCACTCGCCTTCGCGCCGCGCACGTGCGTCTTCAGAGTTTGCAGCCGTGCCGCGGAGGGAGGGGGGCGGTTCCAAACCGTGGATCTCGCGGACGGAGGGCCTCGCCTTGTCGCAGCGAGATTTAGTCCTAAGCTTTCGCAGCAATTTCTAGGATGCAAAGGGGCGTCTTCAAAATGGTGCTCTCGCCTTAGCGTCCTTCACAGTTCGCACCAGCTTCACGGATTGAGGGCGGCTCCTTTTCAAAATGGGGCTCTCGCCACAGCACCGCGCACATTCGTCTCAAAATCCTGCAACGGTTCTACGGATTGAGCACTGGCCGTTTTCAAAGTGGGGCTCTCACTTCAGCGCCGCGCGTAGTTGTTTATTAATGCGACGCTGGGCAGGAAGGAAGACTAGTCTTTTCAAAATTGATGTATCGCCTGTAACTTCGTCAAGTTTGAAGACCCGAAGCTTCAACGCACGTAGCGCCTTAAGGATATACAGCGGTCATTTTTGAACATGAAGCTGTCGCTCAAGACTTCCTCGAAGTTTGCGACCGCAGATGCACGCTCGTGCAACAAATCGGGTGAGGGGCGGTCATTCGGGATATCGCCAGACACCCCGTTCAATTGCATGCTCATTGGAGACCAGTGTGGCAGTTCCCCGGACCCCCCCTGGAAAACCCCTGGTAAGGCTCAGGGCTGCACTTTGGACGCCCGAAATGGGTACGGAAAGAATGGGTACAATGCCCAACAACAAATATTGTCCCAAACCAACAGCGGCCGCTGTTGGGAAGGCGGCCTTCTGTTTCAATAAAACACAGGCCGCGGCGACACCGACAGCGAGTCCTGTTCAAAATGAACAGGAACTGCTGTTGGGCATTGTACCCATTTTTTCCGTACCCATTTCCTTCGTGCCGATGCACACACAGCCCCCCGCCAAGTGGTCCCGGCTGGCGTCCACAGGCCCCCGAGTAGTCCAAGGCGGTCTCAACACCCCGGCGCCGCGCTCGGGTGGTGAGACCGCCCCCTACTACCCGGGGGGCCTGTTGAGGCCAAGTGGGACTCCTCGACTGGCATGCTGAGGCCAGACGGGATTACCCAGAGGCCTGTCCGTGAGCAACACGGAGCCTTACCACCACCTTCCCTCCTCGCCCCTCCTCGCCGATCCTGCTGCCGCCTGGCCAGCCTCCTTGACGGCGCCACCGCCATCAGCGTCACCGCGGCTGGGTGGCCGAAGGTAGCCTCAAGGGTCCGGGCCACCTGGCGCGCTGGTCGCAGGGCGGAGCCCCGGCGAGGGGGGTCAAGGGGCGTCGAGGCCACGCGTCGCATGCAGAAGGGAAACGAAGGGGCCGAGGGCAGCGAGGCGGGAGGAGGGAGACCCGGGAGTGGGAGGAGATAGGGAGAGAGGGGGGGGCAAGCTAGGCGCGCTCGTGCCATATCTGACATCCTGTCCCTGCTTCTCATCCCTTCCAATTGCGCGGATTTTTCCTCGATCCGCGCACGCGTGCAATGCCCGACCTGGCATTCCAAAACAGACGCCGCAATCGGAAACAGGGAGCTGCGCACATAGGATAAAGAGGAGGAACAGGTGGCGGCTTAACAGGAGCAAAAGGATGAGCAGGAGGATAAGGCAGTCGGAGGACGAGGACGAACAGCAGCGGCAGGAACAGGAACGAAAGAAATGCAAGGAGCAGAAGGACCATGGGAAGGTCGAGGAGGAAAACTGAGGTGGAAAGGATAATGAAAAAGTGCCCGCGCTGGGGCGAGGGCGCCAATCTGAACGACGGGAACACAGCGCCAATCCGAAATTGAGGCCCGCACTGCAACGGGAACGCCATTTTGAGGCAAACGAGCTATCGGATTTCACAAGCGCGCCGGGGAGCACACACACAGACACACATACACACACGCACACACACAATCTTGACATCCCGTGTGAAAAAAAAGGCAAGCACGCGGACAAAACCGAACATCTTCCGCACAGGGTCACGGGAGAGAGGATAATCAGTTGATAACAACATGTAACTGTAGAGAAGAGAACAAAAAAGGGGAGGATGAGGAGGAGGATGACGAGATAAGACAAGACCACATGCGAGCCAGAGTTTCGCGTCTTGAAACCCTCGGTACAATAGAGGCCACCTCGAACGGCCGATATTATGTTGATTCAGTGGCTCTGCGTTGCGCATGAAAAGCGCCTACCAGCGGCTTCGCTGGGGGGACGCCTCTGGCCTATCGAGGGGCGGCCCATGGGGGGCACCTCCAAGCCGCCCTCCAGAGGCACCAGTCCCACACTCAACGAATAAGGGCGAGCCAGAAGGTCGTCACCCTACGAATGCAAGGTCAACAACTCTGATGGAGTCGGCTTTCGGGACCCGCAGAGAAACAGGACCGGGAAGGGCGAGAAGGGGCTCAACCGAAGAAGCGGGGGAGATCGGCAGCTAGGGTCTGAACTCTGGAGAAACGCCCGAGCAAGGTTTCAAACCTTGGATCGACTTCGAGCGGGGCATCAGAGACATGACACATCGAACAACATCTATCACCTGCGTAGAACTTGAAAATCGAGCGGCTGACCTACATTGGAACCGACAGAAAACCTCAACATTCGGCTGCCCTCGCTCCTGACTCCGCTCCTGAATCTCTCAATCCGCTCCGTCGCTCCTGAATTCCGCTCCCTCGCTCCTGAATCCGCCCCCTCGCTCATATCTTCCATTCTCTCAGAATCCGCTCGCTCCTGCAGGCGCGCCGCCGCCCAGCTCTTGCACCCTCTGCCGCCTCGACCATGCCCCCGCCCTTGCTCTTGCGCCTGCCGCCCTTGGCCTGGCCCTGGAAGCTCTTGTTGCTGATGCCGACCTTTTGGGGGATCTCCGCGTCGCGTTCGAGGGCCTCTCTGGGCGCGCCGTTTGCGAGCTGCCTCGAGGAGGGCCACGGCGCCCGCGCCATCCGCATCGCGGCCGTGGATTACTTGCTGTTGCGTCGATGCCATGAATTGAATGTTGCACTGCCGGGGGGCGTCGGAATTCTTCTCGCCGCAGCGGCGCGGGCGAAGCCTGCCGACGGGGCCTGCTCCATCGGCTTCTTGGCCATGCGTTCCAGCGCGGCCCAACGCCTTCTGAGGGGCCTTGGGGGTCGCCGGGTCGGCGCCATGAACGCGCGTGGCCAAAGCGCACCGGTCGCGCCATCTGCGCCATAACTCCTGCGCCGGTTTTGGAATTAGCCGCGACGGCCGCGTCTGGCGGGGGCAGGCAGCAAATATTTTGCGCAGGGCAGCCCCGCCAGCTGGCGACTGTTTTCCAGACGCAACCTCGCCGAGATTGCGATGGGGGGCCGCCAATGGACCGACGGCGCTGCCAACCGCGTCCGTCTCGATCTGGGCCTTGAGTCGGGCGAGCTTGGCCCCCTCCTCTCCCTCTTCCAGCGGGGCGCCGCCCTCGTCGGGCACGCGCTGGGCGGCTGCGGGCGAGGCCGGGGGGGGGGGCTCGACCTCCATCGCCCACTACAGGAAGGCGCCGGAAATGGGGTCGAAAAGGGGCCTGCAAATGTGGATCATCATGGCCTTGAGCCCGTCAGTCGGCAAAAATGCGAACAATCATCGCGACTGGTCTGGTACGTCGTGCTCCTGGATGGCGCGCGCGTGTCCTGAGCAGCATGGCCAAATCGTCGCAGGCGCCGTTCGCGCCCTCCGCGCCACGCGCGCGAGACATAAAGTGAGCAAAGCGGCCTGAGATAGCACTGCGACGGAACCGCGATGGCCATGCCGGCGCGCCAATAGCTGTCGACGGGCGTAGAATCGACGGGCGTAGAATCGACGCGAACTCCCACACACAGCGCCTGCGTGATTTCCAGGTTCGGTGACCATGGCAAGGCCATGGGCGCTGCGCGGGGGCCGGGCAACGCGATGGCCATCACGTGAGGTCAAACAGCCGACGAGCTCTTCAATCTGGAGAGGGTTCGCGGGGGCGCCATCGGCTTCGGCGATCTGTTCGAATTCCCCATCTCCAACTTCGGCGAGCGAATGGACGACCCGATCAAACCTTTGAGCGCGCGGGCCGGCCGCGCTACTGAGTTGCCCCTGGTCGTCGACGATGCCGAGTTGGCCGTCGATCTGCGCGCGCAGCCCAATGGCAAGCCCCCTATACTGAGACGCGCTGGCCGAAAGAAAAGGCCCGGGCTCGGCGCCGCTTGAGACGGCGCGGCCCTGGATCCACGCCCAACGGAGCGCAGCGCCAGAATCGGAATACTTCCTGATTGCCCAGAGAGAGACTGGGCGATCACCTCCTTCGAACGCAGCTGCCCACCCCCCCGCCCGCCCGCCCGCCCACCCCGCGCCGCGCGCGCGCGCAAGCTCGCGCGCCCGCCCCGCAGCCCTGCAAGCGCGCCAAAGAACTCAAGACTGGAGCATCTCAAAACTGAACAGCTGCGGGGAAGAAGCTCTCGATGCCTGACAGCGCGGGGCCAAGGGCGCGACCGTGGAAGAGCGCTCGCCACCGAGACCGTGGAAGAGCGTTCACCGCCGCAATGCACCAAGACAATCCACTCTGAAAGGTCGGGTCGGCACGCAGAGCCTGATCGAAGACAACTCCAGCTGTGGGAAGCGCGCGCGGTGGACTTATTGGGTGCGTGCGTGTTTGCTGCCGGATCCAAGTGCTGCTTCCAATGCTTCGTTGTTGGTTGAATTGATCTCGTTGGTATTTTTACTCGTGCATATGCGTGCCGAACATGCGCTAATCACCCATGCGTTTGTTATCAAACCCTTTGCCCGAACCCTTCTCCTTTCCCCCTGATAGCAATGCTTTGGCTGAGTCGTCCACGTAGCATTGGCAGGCGAGGTCGAGCTCGACGTCGACGAGAGGGGGTCTCTATAACGCACCGCGTAGCGGCGCAGCTCCGGACCGGGCGAACGACTCCTGCACATCCCGAACAAAACATGCAAATTCCCCGGATGAACACATGCACTGCCAAAAGGTCTCCCTGAAAGGCCACCGCTCTAGGCTGGGCGAACATGACGCCGTCGGGCCCCCGAAAGCAAACCGCAGCACGTCGGAGCCGACGTTCTCCGCAACAGGCTTCGGGTCGTTGCAGAATGGCACTGCTGGCGCGCGAAAGCCTGGAACGAGGTCCGACCGAATGCATTGCTTGCATCGTTCTGTTCGCACAAAGAATTAAATGCCAAGGCGTTGGGGGCGCCGGCCACAAGGCTGCTGGTTAATCATCGGGGCCCCCAACCGCCCGCGGGCAAGGCAGCGGCGAGCAGAGCGACAAGCGATGAACTGAAGGCTTTAGCAAGCGGGCAAATCACATGGATAATATGGAAATGTGTAATGGCAACACCACGTGAACGATCTGAAGAAAATTGTACTTACGTGGTACGGTAAAATTTGCGCATCGAACTCTTGAACAATACGAGGATGATTGCTCCCTCGGCTCAAGCTGGCGATTCAAATAAGTCCTCGAGATCGCATGAGCGCGCGCCTGCCCGGGCGGAACAGCATTTAATGCAGGTTTCACTGGCAGCGGCCACGGAGGCGTCGCTCGGCGTTTGGCCGCCGCGTGGAAAGAATGGTGCGACGAGCTTCATTGATTCACCAGACAAGTCAAGACGGCTCGGCACCACCATCTCCGTAAATATGCTCGGCCGCATATTGCGACCGCGAAGTCAACTCTGTCTCCATGCCACCGCCGCCCGACAAAAAATGTTAGACACGATACTCGAACATTTGTTTTGGGTAAAATCTTTGACGGATCTACAATTGCTGCGACGAGCGGAGTCCAATGCCACGAACCGAACCAAGCCGGGATACCTCCCGCTTTCTGACCGTACCGGTCGGTTTGACAGAATTCTGCAATGGGCGGATCTCGCCACCATCGGATACGTTGCCGCCGAAAGGGAGGAATATTGGTACTCATAACTTTCAGCTGCTGAACGAGAGAAACTTCCAAACCTGATCCTGCATCTGGCACTTGTAACCGTGTTTGGCGCCGCTGTCGAAAAGATGCTACTACCTGCTGCAATCGCCGTCACTCTTCCGGCTGTGGTGCAAGTGCTTTGGTTTGGAAAACCGCGTTCGCGCCCTTCCCTTTGAGTCCGTGAGGCTCGCGATGCCACGAAATTGTTCAAGGCAATCGGTAAGACTGGCATCGGCGAGTGAATACTGTAGACGAGCGAGCGTGTACAGGAGCATGGTCACGTGGGAATCGAACCAATAAATTGCAACTCTCGCGCGAGACTTCGCAATGGACCAGGTGGCACCGTTGACGACAGAGCACACCGGGGGAACATCAACCAGTCGCATTGCGACTCAACGCCTGCATTGCTATCATCATTGGCGCCTGCGCAGCGACATGCATTATATGCTCTTAGATCGAGATCATCCACCACCTTGGCCAATACATGCCAAGCATAGCGACGGCGTGCCAGTATCGATTGAACTCCAACGCGGTTAAGATCCACGGGTACCCATCGCTCAGACCTGGCCTGTCGCTGTGGTCCGAAACCAAAACCAAGATCAAACTCAATGCAGGGCAAACGCCGATGAGCGGCCCACAGCGGTAAACTCCGAATCCATGACACAGATATACAAAGATATGTATGACAGAGTGAAGGGGGCTGAAAAGCCATTCATTGTCCCTGGGTGCGTGGCTGAAGTGAGAATCCGTGGTGAAGATTATGTTTGTTGCGTTGTTGTTGATGTTGTTGATGTTGTTGTTCATGTTGTTGTTGTTGTTGCCCCCCCCCGCGACCCACCCGCGACCCATTTCGCGACCCACCCGCGACCCACCCCGCGACCCACCCCGCGACTCACCCGCGACCCACCCGTGACCCACCCACGACCCACCACGCGACACACCCGCGACCCATTCCGCAACCCATTTGCGACCCACCCGCGATCCACTTGCGACCCACCCATGACCCACTCCGCGACCCACCCGCGACGCACCCGTGACCCACCTGCGAGCCACCCCGCGACCCACCCGCGACCCAACCGTGACCCACTCGCGACCCACCCCCCGACCCACCCGCGACCTACCCAAATTGGCTTAACGGAAATATCGGCGCCCGCAGCTGGCTCCTTGTATACTGTGTGGAACTTTGGCGCCTGCGGCGGGCTTCTCCAGAGTCTTGCAATCTGCCGACGTCCCCACCGCCCCCTCACTCTTCTTACCCGCATTTGCGGGGGTGCTACATAAGCTACAACTTCCAAAGACATACCTCTTACAACGACCTCGGATCGCAAATCCTCGGCCTGCGAGCGGAGCAGCCCATGCGTCTGTGACGTTGCGGCGGGAAATGCGACCAGCAAAAACAACTGCGCACCCAACCGACTTATGTGTGTGGTCCTCGCGACAACCCTCGGAAATGCACCAGCAATCAGGACCAATCTTTTGTCACTGCGCCGAATAATCCTTGTCGAACTGCTGCTCCTTTGTGCCGTTGGGGCAACTGAAACCGATGTAAGAGGACCTCTTCACCACCTCCTGCACTCGCACTGCACGTCTAGCGGAGGGAGGACTTGATCCGACTGCACGATTTGCAAACCATTCGTGATCAACTTGTGGGGTCCTGCCGACCGCCCCCCTGTGTGAAATGAGAGCAAGCAGTAAGAGTGAAGCTGCAGGCCAATATCCTGACCCCGAAAGCGCTGATGGGCCACGACTCAGCGGATGTGTATGAGAGTGCTCAGGGGAAGGGCCCAAGCCAAAGGGCACTAGAGGATGAGGAGGAGGAGAAACAAGTGGGCGGGAAGGGGGAGGAGGGAGGAGGGGGGAAAAGGGGGGCAGAAGGAGGAGGGAGGGGGATGGGGGAGGAGGGAGTGCAGGAGGTGGGGGAGGAGAGAAGAAGGAGAGGATGAGGAGGGGGAAGGAGGAAAAAGGCGGAGCGGGTGAGAGACCGGGAATAGGAAGAGGATGAGGGCGGTTGGGAAGAAGGAGGACAGAGATGAAGAAGGGGGACGAGGAGGAGGAGGTGGGGAGGAGAAGGAGGAAGAGTCGGAGCACCAGCAAGAACAAGAGGCGCAGGAGGAGAATGAGGGGAAGAGAAGGATGACAGGAGGAGCAGCAGGTGCATGAGGAAGAGAAGGAGTAGAAGGAACATAAGGCGCAGAAGGAGGAGGAGGAGGAGCAGGAGCAGCAGCCGAAGCGACAGGGGGAGGTCCCGAGCGGAAGGAGCAAGCATTATGAAGAACAGACAAAATGAAGACGCCTCTTAGAGCCTCCATTTCGCCCCTGATCCTTGCACCACCACGGCTAGCGGACCTATTTGTTCCAGGAAGCTTGAACACACACGCACACACACACACACACACACGCACACACACCACACACAAACACACACCACACACAAACACACACACACACACACACACGCACGCACGCGCGCACGCGCACGCACGCACGCACGCACGCACGCACGCACGCACGCACGCGAAATCGCGCGCTGGATACACGTGCGGGGGGCCACTGGAACAAGCCGCACGAGAATCGGGGATACGTGCGGCCACGTGTGCACGGTGTCCAGCTCTCGCCCTGGCCCCTTGGCCGGCCAGGCCGAGCTCTCTACCCCCCTGCCAAGAATCTGGCATGGCGCTGGTTCCTCCCTCACCCCGGCAATTCGCATTGCCGGCCCCCGGACCTGTCCACCTCTCCCCAGGGACGGTTCTGCTCATCCCGAGCCGTCCCTGCAGCTGTCCCAGGGCTCGAAAGTGGGCCTTGCCATCGCTCGGCCGTCCATTCCCCGTGCATGTTTTAGTTTCGTGCGTGTTTGCTTGTTCGCAAGAGGATCAAAGATGCTCCTCGATGGCCCTCGCCGAGGAAACGAAAATGCACACGTCCGAGCGATGTCAACTGGAAGGCGGACGATGCGGTGAACCCTTTGGCGCGGTCTGCTCGAGACGTCTGGAGGTCTGGGTTGGCCCAAGCCCGCCGCAGCATCGCCATGGCCCCGGGCCCTCCCTCGGCTTAACTTTATGTGTATTATGTACGAGAATGATTTCAAGACAGGTTCCGCCATTTAGCGCCTATCAGTGTCTATCAATGTTCCTGCTGGCGCCTACTACCGCCTATTAGAGCCGACTGGCGCCTACTAGCGTCTATTGGCGCCTAATGGCGTCTGTTAGCGACCACTACTAAACAATTACAAACGTTAACGGGTAAGAGAACGTCGCATGCCAACAAAAACTGTTATGCATAACACAAACTGCGTACATCGAAGCAGGGCGAATTGACACAACAATGCGAATCGACATAACGCACCAGTTCACCGAGCTGCGCCGAGCCGTGGCGACGAGCCCCCCCCCGAAGGCCAACTACTATGTATCGCTGTCTCATCTCGCAATCCCCTGCCCGACGCCCCCCTGATTCTGGCCGTTTGGCGTTCGGGTCATGACTCCCGTCTCCAGCGGTCATGTGGGACGATCCAGGCACCCATGGAACGCCCTCGGCGAGGTGCAGCTGCTGGAGAGCAGCCCGAGGCCAGAAGCCCGTCGAGAAGTGCCCAACACCTCCGCAAACCTCGAACTCGAAACCCCAGGGCCCACCCCGCCCCCAACATGCAGCTCCGCTGAGCTTCTGGTCGGCCGGCGCCCACCGCCACGGACGCTGGAGCGGCGTCGAGCCCATCGGCGAGGAACTCGAGCGACCCCTCGAGTACCAGCGGCTCCACATCGGCGCTGGCCGTCGCGCTGGCGGCTGTCCATGTGGACTCGGTCGAGCTGCTGGTCTTGGAAAGTGTGGCCTGGGTAGATGTCGTCGCGGTGCTGGATGTGATCGATGATGTTTCAGTCGCAGATGTGGTCCGCGAAGTGGCAGTCGCAGTCCAAGATGAAGAAGTAGCACTGTGGGTGGTGCTGGTCAGCGAGGAAGTGGTGCTCACACTACTTTCTGTCTCAGAGCTGGTGGTTGTCCATGTGGACTCGGTCCAACTGCTGGTTTTGGAAATTGTGGTCTGGGTAGATGTCGTCGCGGTGCTGGATGTGATCGATGATGTATCGGTCGCAGAGCTGCTCTGCGACGTGGCCGACATAGTCATAGATGAAGAAGTTGTGCTTTGGCTTGTACTCGTCAGTGAAATAGTGCTCACACTACTTTGTGTCACAGTGCTGCTGTGAGTCCCTGTGGACTCGGTTGGGGTGCTTGTCACGGAACCTGTGCTCCCAGTAGATGTCGTCGCGGAAAGGGATGTGGTCGATGCTGTATCGGTCGCAGAGGTGCTCCGCGACGTGGCCGTCGCAGTCAACGATGAAGAAGTAGCACTGTGGGTGGTAGTCCATGTGGACTCGGTCGAGCTGCTGGTCTTGGAAAGTGTGGTCTGGGTAGATGTCGTCGCGGTGCTGGATGTGATCGATGATGTTTCAGTCGCAGATGTGGTCCGCGAAGTGGCAGTCGCAGTCCAAGATGAAGAAGTAGCACTGTGGGTGGTGCTGGTCAGCGAGGCAGTGGTGCTCACACTACTTTCTGTCTCAGAGCTGGTGGTAGTCCATGTCGACTCGGTCCAACTGCTGGTCTTGGAAATTGTGGTCTGGGTAGATGTCGTCGCGGTGCTGGATGTGATCGATGATGTATCGGTCGCAGAGCTGCTCCGCGACGTGGCCGACATAGTCATAGATGAAGAAGTTGTGCTTTGGCTTGTACTCGTCAGTGAAATAGTGCTCACACTACTTTGTGTTACAGTGCTGCTGTGAGTCCCTGTGGACTCGGTTGGGGTGCTTGTCATGGAACCTGTGCTCCCAGTAGATGTCGTCGCGGAAAGGGATGTGGTCGATGCTGTATCGGTCGCAGAGGTGCTCCGCGACGTGGCCGTCGCAGTCAACGATGAAGAAGTAGCACTGTGGGTGGTAGTCCATGTGGACTCGGTCGAGCTGCTGGTCTTGGAAAGTGTGGTCTGGGTAGACGTTGTTGCGGTGCTGGATGTGATCGATGATGTTTCAGTCGCAGATGTGGTCCGCGAAGTGGCAGTCGCAGTCCAAGATGAAGAAGTAGCACTGTGGGTGGTGCTGGTCAGCGAGGCAGTGGTGCTCACACTACTTTCTGTCTCAGAGCTGGTGGTAGTCCATGTGGATTCGGTCGTGCTGGTCGTCGTGGTTCCGATGCCAAGGCAAATCTGTTGCTGCACCGGGCTTGTGAAGCTGGGGTCAGGCGACTGATCGTTGAACAGCACAGAGTCCGCTGGAATGCTGTAGACGCACCCATAGAAACTCAAGCCTGCCCACATGCCCGATCCGAATTGGTTCTTGTCGCCCAAGTCAACGCGATCGTGGTTAACAGCGACTTCAAAACACTCATTCTCGGACACGACATCATCGAGTTGGTAGGATGCACAACTCTCGCCCGGAGGCAGTAGCGAGTAGAGCTGTTGGGTGGTGCTGGTGTGCGAGAGGATGGTGCTCACACTACTTTCGGTCACAATGCTTATAACTGTACCTGTTAGCCTCGACGTGGTTCTGGTCTTGGACGTTGCGCTACGGGTAAATGCCGCCGCTGTGACAGATGTGCTAGAGAACATCTCAGTCGCAGGGCTGGTCCACAGCGTGGCAGAGCTAGAAAAAGAGGATGTTGCAACCTGCGTGGTGCTGGTCAGCGAGACAGTGGTGCTCACATTACTTTCTGCCACAGTGCTGGTGGTTGTCCAAGTGGACTCGGTCGAGCTGCTGGTCTTGGAAACTGCCCTCTGGGTAGATGGTGTCGCGGTGCTCGATGTGATCGAAGATGTTTCAGTCGCAGAGGTGCTCCACGACGTGGCAGTCCTGCTCAAAGATGCAAAGATAGCACTGTGAGTGGTGCTGGTCAGAGAGGCAGTGGTGCTCACACTACTGCCTGTCACAGAGCTGGTAGTGCTGATGGTAGTCCATGTGGACTCTGTCGAGCTGCTGATCTTGGAAACTGTGCTCTGGGTAGATGTCGTCGCGGTGCTGGATGTGATCGATGATGTTACAGTCGCAGAGGTGCTCCACGAAGTGGCAGTCGCAGTCAAAGATGAAGAGGTTACACTCTGGGTTGTGCTGGTCAGTGGAACGGTGGTGCCCACACTACTTTCTGTCACAATGCTAGCGGTTGTCCAGGTGGACTCGGTTATGCTGCGTGATTGAGAAACTGTGTTCCCAGTAGATCTCGTCGTGGTGCCGGAAGTGCTAGATGTTGCGTCAGTCGCAGAGCTGATCAACGACGTGGCCGTCGTAGTCGAAGATAAAGAAACTGTGCTTTGGCTTGTACTCGTCAGTGAACCAGTGCTCACACTACTTTGCGTCACAGTGCTGCTGTGAGTCCCTGTGGACTCGGTTGGGGTGCTTGTCATGGAACCTGTGCTCCCAGTAGATATCGTCGCGGAAAGGGATGTGGTCGATGCTGTATCGGTCGCAGAGGTGCTCCGCAACGTGACCGTCGCAGTCAACAATGAAGAAGTAGCACTTTGGGTGGTAGTCCATGTGGACTCGGTCGAGCTGCTGATCTTGGAAACTGTGCTCTGGGTAGATGTCGTCGCGGTGCTGGATGTGATCGATGATGTTATAGTCGCAGAGGTGCTCCACGAAGTGGCAGTCGCAGTCAAAGATGAAGAGGTTACACTCTGGGTTGTGCTGGTCAGCGGAACGGTGGTGCCCACACTACTTTCTGTCACAATGCTAGCGGTTGTCCAGGTGGACTCGGTTATGCTGCGTGATTGAGAAACTGTGTTCCCAGTAGATGTCGTCGTGGTGCTGGAAGTGCTAGATGTTGTGTCAGTCGCAGAGCTGGTCAACGACGTGGCCGTCGTAGTCGAAGATAAAGAAACTGTGCTTTGGCTTGTACTCGTCAGTGAACCAGTGCTCACACTACTTTGCGTCACAGTGCTACTGTGAGTCCCTGTTGACTCGGTTAGGGTGCTGGTCTTGGAAACTGTGCTCTGGATAGATGTCGTAGCGGCGATGGATCTGCTAGATAAGGCTTCTGTCGCAGAGCTGCTCCACGTCGTGGCAGTGATAGTCAAAGATAATGAAGATGCATTGTGGGTCGTGCTGATCAGCGAAACAATGGTGCTCACACTACCTTCGGTCACAGTGCTGGCGGTTGTTCTTGATGACTCGGTTGAGCTGCTGGTCATGGAACCTGTACTCCCAATGGATGTCGTCGGGGTGTCCGAATTTCTATATGAGGCTTCAGTCGCAGAGCTGGTCCACGTCGTGGAAGAAACATCTTCGCTGCGGGCGGTGCTGGTCGGTGACACGGTGGTGCTCACACCTTCTTCTGCCACTGTGCTGGTGGGCACCCTGGTTGCCTCGGCCGTGCTGCTGGTCACGGAACCTGTGATCCGGGCAACTGCCGCCGCGGTGCCCGATCTGCTGGATGCTGCTCCGGGAGCAGCAGTGCTGGTCCACGACGTGGCAGTCCCAACCACAGACGAGGAGGTTACGTAGCGGGTGGAGCTGGACAGCGGAGCCGCGGCATGCGTCACAGCCGTCGCCCTCCAGGGAGAGGCAGTAGCCGACGCAAGCGCCCAGGGCTCCGCCGGCGCGCGGGGCAGCGTGGCCGCCAGCACGAGCGCCACCTCCGAAGAGGCTCTATGGAGCGCCCTTCGCCCCCTCTCATCCGCTCACACCGATCCCCCCGCCCTCCATCGGTCCATTTTGTGGTGACTCACGCGAGCCTCCCGTGCAATCTAGCTGGCCGTTGCGAATTGACGCTGCCCGACGCTTATCGACGCCACATCGGCGCTGAATCGACGTTCAATCGGCGCTGCCTCATCGATGACCAGACGCTAGCGCACGCTAGTGCTCCCTACAGACGACATTCCGAGGACATAGTGAACTCCCATGAATTGCTACCGACCTTGCCCATCCGCGCCCGCTTCCCAGCCGCCTCCCCCTCTTCCACCCTCCGTCCTCGCACAATTCCGCCCTGCATGCTCCTCGGGTACACGCTGCTGTAAAACGGATAAAAGGGGCCCATGGATCTGGCACGCGGGCACCTCGTCCAAGAATCAGGGAGGCCCCCCCCCCCCGAAATTTGGCGACGCAGCGCGCCGCTTCTGGACAGAGCCCGGACCCGTCGCTGAGTCACATGCCTGAAAGTGTGTCTGCGCTTCCTGGCGCATGCCCTCCCCTCCCCGCCTTCTCCCACCCTCCAACCTCCACTCCCCCCTTCTGCTTCCCTTTTGCTTCCTTCGTCAGCATTCAGCTGTGCTCGCATACGCTGCCCCCAAACAGCGTTCGCTCCAGATCCCACTGGCGGGTTCAGCGGGTTCAACTGGGCGCCGGCGGTAAACCGTCAACCTTGGTTACCGCCGGGAGACTCGTAGAGCTTCCTAGCTCGACTTAAGTTGAGAAAACCGACAGCACCTACCAACATTCCGACTCATAGTGAATATGTTTTGACCTCTGAATGCGACAGGCGGACGCGTCTGATGTCTGTGAACCGACTCCTGTCATTACCAGCCCTGCAGCCCCCCTACTGCCCGAGTTAAGTGCAAAAAACCGACAGCACCTCTCAGGATGACTCGAACAATACAGTAGTTTCGCAGGCCTAATTCGGGCAGCAGGCCGAGTTCCGAGCTCTGGATTCCACAGGCGGACGCGCCTGATGTCTTCAAATCGATTCCTGTGACCACCAGCACTGTAGCCCCCCTCAGCGCGAGTTCAGTGAAGAAAACCGAGAGCACTTCTCAAGATGACTCGACCAATACGAATAGTTTCGCGATTCTAGATCGGGCAGCAGACCGAGTTCAGAGCTCTGGATTCAACAGACAAACGCAACTGATGATTCTGAATCGGTTTCTGTAAATATCAGCTCTGTAGCTGTCCTACAGCTCGAGTTAAGTACAGAAAACCGAGAGTTCCTGTCAAGATGACTCGAATCATACGAATAGGTTTGCGTACCTAGCTCGGCTAACAGACCGAGTTCAGACCTCTGGATTGAACAGGCGAACGCGCCTAATCATTCTACATCGATTAGCTGTGCTTACCAGCTCTGTAGCTGTCCTAAAGCTCAGTTATGTTCAGAAAACCGTCAGCGCGTATCAAGATGACTCGAAACGGCCGATCCCGCCACAGTGCTTTTCGATAGTAATATTCACCCGATCGAGCTGAGATCAAGATGGCGAGCGGGAATAAGATCGAATATCACGGGAAAAAATACTAGAGCTCTAACGAATGGTTGAATTTTGAGAACAAAATTTTCAACCGAGCAAAAGTCAGCAAAAGTTCCGTCGAGATGTTTCGAGCCAACTAGCCCGCCAGTGCGTCCGAATTACTCTTAAGCTTCCAGCTGCTAGCTTAGGGAAGCTCTACGAGTCACTTTCAGGGCTCACTGCTTGAGCGCGCCTGCTGGCGCCCCACCAGCACTCTTCGTGTCGAGACCCACCACCCCTCAGGTAACGGCCGCTGCGCGCCAGAGAACACGTGGCACGCACGACCTGGCACCTGCACGAGGGAGGGCGAGGGCCAAGCGAGGCGGGGCAAGGAGGGGCATGTAAAGGGGCCGTCCTACTGCTCTCCTGGGGCCATGTGACCATCACGAAGAAACATGGGCAGGGGGGCCCGAGGGGCGACGAGCGAACGAACGACCGACGACGACGAAAAAGGGATCCGAGCTCAAGCTCTAGCACACAAATTGCAACAGATGTCCGATGAGGACGGGGGCCAGAGCCAGGGCCAGGGGGCTGGGACCAGGGCCAATGACGATCGACGACACGACGGAAATCAGGAGGTCCGAGACCAGGCGGGCTGGGAACTAGACCAGAGCCAAGGGAATGTCTGGAGCGAGGGTCAGAGGAGGCTGGCTGGGGGCTGGAGCCAGGGCCGGGGGGGCCTGGGACCAGGGCCGGGGAGGGGCTGGGGCTGGGGCCAGGGACGAACGACGACAAGCGAACAAAAATGGGTTCGAACTCTGGAGCACAGCCGTGCAAGAGAGTGCCAGGGGCGGGCAGGGGGGCTGGGGCCAGGGCTAGGGACGAACGACGAACGAACGACGAAGGAAAGGAGGTCTGGGGCCGGGGGGGGCAGGGACCAGGGCCAGAGGCGACGGGCCAGGGGGTGCGTGGGCCAGGGCCAGGAGGGAAAGGGGGCTGGGGCCAGGGCCAGGGACGAACGACGAGCGAACGACGAAAATGAACAGGTCTGGGGCTAGGGGGGCAGGGTCCAGGGCCAAGGGCTGTGGCCAGGGGAAGCCAGGGGGGTGGCGTGGGCCAGGGCCAATGGGGGCCAGGGGTGCTAGGGCCAGGGCGAGAGGCCAGGGGGGGCAGGGGCCAGGGGGGGCCAGGGCCGTGGACGAACGACGAACGAACGACCAAAATAAAAAGGTCTCGGGCCGGGGGGGGGAGAAGGGCAGCGGCCAGGGAAAAGCCAGGGAAGGCCTGGGCTAGGGCCAGGGGGGCTGGGGCCAGGGCGAGTCGAGGGGCAGGGTCCGGGGCCACGGGCCAAGGGACAGCCAGGGGGGACGTGGGCCAGGGCCAATACGGGCCAGGGGTGGTGGGGCCAGCGCGAAGGGCGGGGCCAGTCGCAGGGACGGACGAAAATAAACATGTCCCGGGCCAGGGGGCAGGGTCCGGGGGCGAAGAGCAGGGGCCATGGGGCTAGGGCCAGGGCCGAACGACGAACGAACACCGATGATGAAAAAGCCGGGGGCCAGGCTGGGGGCAGGGTCCAGGGGCAAGGGCGAAGGGTCAGGGCCAGAGGAAAGCCAGGGGGGGACGGGGCGTGTGCAAGGGCCAGGGGGGGAGGTGGTGAGGCGGCCGGGGCAAGGGCCAGGGGGGAACGAACAGCGAAAGTACCGAAATCCGGGGCCAGGGGCGCAGGATCCAGGGCCAGGGCAAGCCAGGCAGGACCAGGAGGGGCCAAGGGGCTGGGGCCAGGGCCAGGGACGAACGACGAACGACAAGGGCCAGGGGGGAGCGAGGGGCCAGGGGGCCCACGGGGGGCTGGGGCCGGGGCCAGGGACGAACGACGACTGAACGACGAAAATCATGAGGTCTGGGGCCAGGGGTGGCAGGGTCCAAGGCCAGGGGCAAAGGGCAGGGGAAAGCCGGGGGGGGGGGCCTGGGCCAGGGCCAGGGCCAGGGGGGGCCAGAGAGGGGCTGGGGCCAGGGCCGGGGACGAACGACGAGCAAACGACTAAGGAGGTCTGGGGCCAGGGGGGCAGGGTCTGGAGCCAGGGGAGAAGGCCCCAGGGGCCAGGGGAAAGCCAGGGGGGCGTGAGCCAGGGCCAGGGCAAATGGGGGCCAGGGGGGGCTGACGCCAGGGCCAAGGGCGAACGACGAGCGGACGGGGCGATGGCGAGGGACGAACGACGAACAAACGACGAACATATAGTGTTCCGAGCTCTAGAACACAACTGTGCAATAACATAAACTTACCCTGTGATGTACCCAAACGATTTCCATTACAAGACAAGATGCATTGGCCCAAACTTTTATGGCTGATGACAAGAGAGGAGCCGTCACGTGTTGGGGAAACTACATGGGATGCGCGCGCGTTGCACGACCCACAGGACACCAATCGAAGGACGATGACTGAGGCTCCAGGCTCGGAAACGAAATGCGGGTGAAAGCGGAGGGCTGCAGAAGGGCGTAAGACAAGATGGTGGAGGGAGGCTGAGGACGACAACGAAAGAGGCAGAATGAGGAAGGAAGGTGGCGAAGATGTGCCAGTGGCACGCTGGACAAGCAGCGCGCCCCCCCCCCGAAAGGTCGCTGTGCCGATCCAAAGCGACGGCGAGATCTCATTTGATCTTAATACGTTAATACGACGTCGCTCCGCTGGACCTCCCAGGAGCCTACGAAAGTGGCGAAAGTTTCGCAGTTCGCAGCCCCCAGCCACGGCGAGGTCTCATCTGATCGGATTGGGATATCACTGCGATGAACCTTCCAGGGGCCCACGAAAATGGCGACGGCTTCGCAGTTCGCAGCCCCCAGCGACGGCGGGCGAGGTCTCACCTGACCTGACTAGGACGTCACTCCGCTGGGCTCCCCAGGAGCCCACGAAAGAAGGGAAAGCTTCGCAGCTCGCAGCTCCCAACCACGGCGAGGTCACATCTGATCTTAATCGGACGTCACTCCGCAGAACCTCCCAGGAGCACACGAACGTGGCGAAAGTTCCGCAGTTCGCAGCCCCAAGCGATGGCGAGGTCACATCTGATCTGACTGGGACGTCACTCCGCTGGAACTCCCATGAGCCCACGAAAATGGCGACGGTGTCGCAGTCCGCAGCCTTCGGCGACGGCGAGGTCTCATCTGATCTGACTAGGACGTCACTCCGCTGGACCTCCAAAGAACTCACTCATGTGGCGACGGTTTCGCAGTTCGCAACCCCCAGCGACGGCGAGGTCTCGTCTAATCTGAATAGGACGTCACCCCGCTGGACCTCCCAGGAGCCCACGAAAGTGGCGAAAGCTTCGCGGTTCGCAGCCCCCACCCACCACATCTGATTTGGATACAGTCGAGGCGTTGACCTAAGGAACCCTAAATAAGGAACGAGGCCCCTTTCTCCCATAAGTTCAACCTCGATTTCCGATGGAAAACCTCAGGAAAACCCGAGGCAAACTTTGAAACAGTCAAGGAACACCGAGCCCCTCCCCAGCGAGAAGGGTTCCTTCTTCAGCGCCCCGACTGTAGGACGTCACTCCGCTGGATCTGCAGCACGTCGTCCAACAATGTCGCACGTTTTGTAGCTTGCGGCCCTCCGGGGATGATGGCGAGTGAAGAGGCAGGCTGGCAGGCAGGTGCAGTCCGGGTAGAGGGCAAGAGCGAAGATGAGAGGGGCTGAGAGGAGGAGGGAGGCGGGACGAAAAGGAGGAGATCGCGGCTGCAGCGCTCTGTTCAAGACGAGAACCCAGCGCAGGAGGATTGGGAAAAGCACTCTCCAATCTGGGTGGCGAAATCCGAGCCCTACCCCCGCCGCCCGTCGGCTTGCCTGAATCGTTCCTCGGCGAGGGCAGGGTACGATCGGTCAAGAGGGTGTGAGGCCAAATGCACTCAAAATCGGTCCCTGAACCCCTCCCAGGGTCCACCTCACTCAAAGTGTCACACTGGATGTGTTTTTCGCACAACCCTGAGGCCCGAAGAACGCCCCCGGAGGCAGAACACGACAAAAGCCTTCCCGCACCCAGAACCTCGAACCTGCCCGCCCTTCCGGCGGACCAGTACCAGTGCTGGCCACCCCAGGACCCCCAGACGGCTGCAACCTCCACCTCCCCCGCTTCCGGGAGACGCAGACCTCGGGCCCGGGGGACTCGGGGCCAGCAGCAAAGGAGCACCCTCCGCAACCGCCCTCCAACAAACGGGACCGTCCGAACTCGAAACGGGCCAATCAGAAAGCGTCGGCAGACCCGGGATCCAACGAGCTCGAGCCTTGCGCTCCCCCGACCGCTGCCGCCCCCTCCGCCGGGCGGCCGCCCTCCCCGGAGGCTCCCGGCCCCACCGCGGCGGGGCGGCTGGCGCGCACCCTCGCCCACATGCGCGTGCCCCGCTGCGGGCACGCGGGGGGCGCCCCCCCCCCCCTTCGGGGGGGCGGGGGGGGTGGCCAGGCGCCGGCGCCTCTTTGCACCTTGGGCGGGGCGTCGGCCAGGGCGGCCCGCGGCGACCGAGAGGCAGGAAGCCGCGCAGGATGGTGCAGCCGACGCAGCCGCCGACCGCACCGAGCCGACCGAGCGCAGCCGACCGCGACGCCGCCGACAGCACCAGGTCGAGTCGTGGACACTCGTCTTGGTCGTGAACCTTGTCATCGCTCGGACGTGCACTCCCCGTGCATTGCTCTGTTGTGTGCTTTTTGCTCGAAAGAAATCATGCTCGATGGTCCTCACCGCAAAACACGCGCACGCCCGAGCGATGCCAAGTGAACACATCGAGATGGCCCCTTTTTCCCCGTCCTGGGCATGTTAAGCGAGCAGAACATCCAACCTCAGAATGAACACCTCGACGAGCGAAGCCGTTTACTGAACGCACCTAAGGAAGGAATCGAACAGGGCAAGGCTGATTAGTAAACGCCCTGGGCCATGTCATAAACGCCAATAATCGGGGTCGAGATAGGTGAAAAACCAGGCTCCAAGTACCGGTGCGGAACTCTTCGGCCAGAGCGTAAACTCACGGGCTGAACCATGGTGAGCCCAAGTAGGTGGTGACATCCGAACCGTACCCTCGCCAACCACCGATTCTCCTCAATCGATGGGAGGGGGGGTAGGGTTCGGATTGCGCCACGCATTCGACGAAATCCGAACCACCCCCGCCGCCCATCGAGTTGCCTGCATCGTTGCTCGGCGAGGGCAGGGTTCGGACTTCGCCGCCGACCAGGCCTGTTTCGCCACATATTGACCAACAAGCGCCCAGATGCTTGCCATGACGAATGGAGGCACTGCGTGGTAGGTTAGACAGCTCTCGTGCCGCAGGGCGATGCGATGCTATGAGAAGTCGGGCCCCAGGGGAGGGGTCGCGAGGCCCTGGTGGGCCGCGTCTAGAGACCGTCGAGCCGGCAGCTGTCTGGGATCGCTGCCCCATCCTCCAGGTAATGGGCAACACACAAGCTTTGGCGGTACCTTTTTATTCAAGAGGGGAAAAAACACACAGACACAATTATTCGTCGATTCCCAGAAAATATGCGAAAATATGGGAAGTGGGGGCGAAGACAAAAACCCAGAAAATATCGGAAAATATGGGGAATCATTTTATTTGTGCGTATTCATTTGTGTGTCCCAGGGCCGCTTCATTTATGCTCGGCCAAGACTCTGTAACCTTAGCTGTACCCTTGTTTGCTCAGCGTGGCCGAGCAAAAACCATTGTGCAGAGATGCCCCCGGCCTACGGTCGACGCTGTGGCCCTGATGCCGAGAAGACAATGCAAGAGAGTACATCCACCAACCGGCCCCAACCGACCAACCACTATCGAGTCGAGAGTTCAAAACCACCACTGGCGTTCTTTTTCGCCACTCGGCGATCCAAGGGCGCCGCTCCCGGGGTCAAGGGCCCTCCAAGAGCGGCGTCGCTGCTGGGTCCAGAAACGGCCCGCGACGGAAAGTCGGTCCCACGGCAAAGGGCTGTGGAATCGGGGGGGGGGGGCCACGTCGCCGGAGGCTTGGGCGCCCCCTGTCATGACGGCCCCCCTCAGAGACGCCCCCCCCACACCCCGCCCCGCCCCTTGCTATATCTTTACACGCCTGCAGATGTGTGTGCAGTAGATGCCAGATGCCAGGGGAGAGATGGAGCGTGAGCAGCAAGTGGTTTACAAGGCATAAGCATCAACCCCAAGATCTGGCACTCCCAGAACTGAGCGGTCCAGTCAGCGCCCGGCGAAGCGCACCCGGAAGACAAGCTGCAGAGGGCAAGGCGGCTTGGTAAACGTACAAGGCTGCTTCCAGCAACTAGGGCTCCCAACTTCGCGCTTCGCGCTCCCCGAAGCGCGAAGCGCGAATAACTTCGCGCTCTCGCGCCGCCCTCCCAAAGGGAGAATAGGAGGACGAGGAGGAGGGGGAGAAGGAACGAGGACCGCGAAGCGCGAAGCGCGAATAACTTCGCGCCCTCGAGGGAGCCCTTGATTTATCCATGACTATCACCTAGGGGATCGATCCTCGGGGACGCCGGCAGACGGTGGAGCTGCATAGATGTGGCCCCCCAGGGCCCGACTTACCCATATGCACCGCCTGCCGAGGTCCCTGAAGGTCGATCCCCCAAGCGGTGGTTCTGGGTAATCCCCCGCCTCGGAGCAAGGAGGTCGGGAAAGCTCGCCCAAATCCGACGCGACTGACATACAACGCCACCAACGATGACGACCAGAACTTCATCGACCCCATCGAGCGCTGCCTCGCTCAGCGATCCCAAGCAGTCGCGCCGGGGCGCTTGGCGCCCGAAGCAGGGCCCGAAGAGGCACCTGCCTCGTGACACTTCTTGCCCACGTGCCCCAACGGCGCCTGGATCCGAGGTCCCCGCGTGTTTCCCAGAGGCCCCGGGGGAAGCCTCCCCGGAGGGCCCCGGACCTGGGTCGAACGAAGGGGGGGAGTGATATATACAGGAGGGGCGATGGCGGCACAGCTCGCGGAGAGCTGGTTTCCCCAGTGCCTCCCCGTGCTGGAGGCGTCAGTGTACGGAAGGAAGGAACTGGCCTGGCGGCGGGGCCGAAACCGGCTGCACGCAGCAGATGTCGACCCCACCTTCGGTGGCAACTCATGGGAGCCTCCCATACCATCTTGTTGGCTCTTGCGAATCGACGCCATATCGACGCCATATCGACGCCAATCGACGCCATCTCATCGACTGCGTACCAAACGCTAGTCGACGCTAGCGCGCATCTGCACGAGCCTTGCCTCGATCCTCGAGGTCCCGTACGATTTGTGCGGTCCGCGGGCCTTCGAGCCCCCGAAGCCCCTCCCAGGGGGCCTGTCCTTCTTCGTCCCGCATCGGCCTCTGACGGGCCGTGGCCCCGACGACTTTTGTTGCGTCGGCGGCTAGGCAGGCAGGGGTCGTCTGAGCTGGCGGAAGAGGCTAACTAAACGCGGGGCACCGTTGTAAACAATTGGCCAGCAGGCATGAGGAGGAGGAGGAGGAGGAGGAGGAGGAGAAGGAGGAGGAGGAGGAGGAGGGACGGAGCGGGTGGCCGCAGGGGGGGCGGGGAAAGCGAGGGCCACACAGGGGGGAAGGGTCCCGAAAAACAAAACAACTGTTGCAGTATTCGCGATAACGCACGTGACCAGCCCCGTCCCATGCCCCCTTCCCCTTTCCCCCTAAGTCACGTAACGATTCGCGCCGACGTAGGCTGGGAATCAGATATCCCTGAGGATACCCAGACGGAGCCGGCGCGAATCGTGACGTGCCTGGCTCCCTCTCACTCCTCTCCGACCCTGCGCCTACACCGACACCAAATACTTCATCTACCTCTTCCTCCTCCTCTCCTTCTATTTGTTTACGTGTATCCTCATGATGTTTGTTTCGTTTTCAAGGTTGATGTGTTTTCCTTTGCTGGGTCTGTGTTGTTCCGTCTTGGGGCTTTCGTTCGCGCCATTCTCAGTTCGGTTCCGTTCTGTACTGATTGTTTCTGTTGTGGGCAGCAATGGTGTTTTTCCCTTTTGGTTGGCTGGAACGGAAAGTTGAAATCGGGGGGAAAACGCCTCAGCGTTTTTAAACATCAACTAAAAAAGGACACATTGACCTCGAACAGGTGAAACATCGCAGGTGAATCGGCAATAGGCTCCAAGCGATCACGCCTGGCCGGGTGTGGGGCAGCTCTGGCCACTATCAGCGAGGCGTTCGGGGGTTGCTGCGTCATCCCCTATCAGCCTATCCCCCCATGACGTTGCCCTCTGGTCTTGGGGCCTCAAGGCCTCCCAAATGGGTCCGAGTGGATCGGGTCGGAGGATTGCGCCGCATCGCTGATGTATTGCCGATGCATCGGCAACATCTGTGATGCATCAATGCCGTCGGCGTGGATACAATCGGATTCCACATCGAGCCGCATCGCCGATGCATCGGCGGTGTCGCGCGATCCTCCGACCTCATTTAACCGCAATAGGTCTTCGATGAATCTCCTCCCAATGAGGTGAAAATCATTATTTTGTCGGGACCAATTGAAGGTTTGCCCGCGCCCAATAATCATCGGCGAATCCTCCACCGTGCCCCCTGGCACGTTGAGGCGAGGACAAATGGCAAGGGCTGGCTGCCTGGTATGGGCTTCGTCATCTAATCATGACATGCATCGCCCCTCCTTTTCGAAGCCACTCTCCACGTGCCCGTTCGAGCATGGTGCATGTCCAGCATGTCAGCGAATGCCGAAATCCACATACCATGCGCGCCCGCTCGAGGATGGTGCACTTCCCGCAGAGCAGTGAATGCCCGAAATGAACCCTCATTCCTTGTACACCCGCTCGAGGAGTGTGTACTGCCCGCATTCCAATCCTCTTATCCCACGCGCACCCGCTCGAGGATCGTGCGATTCTCGCGCTCCCAAGCCTTTAAGACGGCGCCAGATGCCTCCAAGGAAGGCCCAACAGGGCTTCGGAATTCGCGTTCCTCCTGGTTTCCTCCGCGTGTCTCAGGACTCCTGAAAAAACCCTGGGACGCCCTCAGGATACCGAAGGACTCCTGCAAGGTTCATCAGGACTCCCCAGGGATCTTCAACATTCCTGAAGAGCCCGCAGGCACCCCAGGGGTTCCAAGTGTGTCCCTGTTCCTGGAGGAAGCATCAGGGTTCCTCAAGCTTCCTCTGTGTGTCTCTGTATCCGCATGACCCACAAGAATCCTCAGGACTCCTTGAGGAATCACTAGGAATGCTGAGACACCCTGAATACCCATGTGGCATAAGGGAGGAATTCGCTGGAATCTTGAGCAACACTGGGAGACCTGAGAAATCCCAAGAAATCTCGGCACTTCCTCAGCAACTAGAGGAATCCTAACGCAGCCTGGCGAATCCTGAAAAATCCCGATGGACCGTGCGGAATCCTGCAGGACACTGGGGAATCCTCGGGAACTCTGAGGGATCTTGAAGAATCGTGAGGAACCACATGGGGTCCTGCAGAAGCTTCGGTACCACCACTACTACTACTACTACTACTACTACTACTACTGC